AGCAGACACAGTCCTAATAACAGCCTTCCCCGGAGCTAGAGGTGTTTGGCTCAGGTGTCAACCAAAGCAAGCCCTCTTGCTGCCACTTTCTCGCACTGGCACTACTTATTTTAGGACCCTCTGGCTTTAAAAGCTTTACAAATATGTCTGAAAAGGGAGCCACAGCTATTTGTCATGCCATCCTTAACTGATCTTGTTCCGCTGGAACCAAGGGGGCTCCGCTTGCTGGCAGAAAATTAAGCCTTGTGGCTGCCTCATGCAGCTTCTGTCATTAAAGCTCATCTCCCACTTCACAGAGAAATGCAAGGAGGGTGATTTCTTCAGACCACATCAACAGTGCCCCATTTCTCTCTTATCATTCTGTTGTTGAATACTTTACAAAACAGAACCACAGAGAGTTGGTACAAATGTTACTGTGCAGGTATAAGGGCCGCAGCTGGATAGAAAATTAATTTAGGGCCTTAATTCCCTGTATTTCCCCTGGAAATCCTTCCCCGGGTTTTGAATTCAGGGTCTGGAGCAGGAGGAACTCAAAGGGGTGACCAGGTTCACCATAAAGTGCAGCACATCCGGTCCCTCACACTGCACGTGGGCACTTGACACTTCAGCTCTCCTTTATCTCAGAATGTGATGGGTATTATTGTTAATATATCCCTTGAAAGTACACTTCCAAACCAAAATGACTAATTTTCAATGTGCCATTGTGTGCTGTCATGATCCTCAACAGAAAACTCTCCCTTGGTGAGACTGAGCAGTTTGAAATCATTTCAGATTCACAGCCACGATGCTGGAGAGAGCAGGGACCCCAAACCACATCTTTCAGACTGGGGCAGACGCCCATTCTCCAGCCATGTTGCCTAGTAATACTCGCTCTTGTAGGCTGTGGTGCCTCCATCAAATCCACTCAAAATAATTTTTTCCTGAAACAGTTCATCTAAAGAGATACCAGATGATGTCAGAGATGCAGCATGAACATTTGTCTGTGCTGTGCATGCCATTGTGCCAAACATTTTTTCTGGGCAGAGTCATCCTCTCTGATTCTCTCATCACCTGTGCAAAGTGCCCAGTATACCTATACGGTGTTTTTATGGACCCCAGCAACTTTGAAGGAACAAACCCAAGTGAAAGTGCAGTGCCTGAAGCCATTGTAAAGGCTAACCACATGGCAGGCAGGCAGTAGGATGCTTTATCATGGGATGAACTTGTGAAAATCAGTGATTGCCAGCTAAGCAGGAGAGGGCAGGGAAACAGTTTTACCTCTGGGACCCAGCTGGAGCTCCCTGTCAAGATGTCTCTTGGCATTAGGCAAATGATTCCCCTATTTTCTCTCATGGTGGTCATAACTGGTACTCTTTTCTCCCCCTCCTCCCACGTGAAAATGTTACTTAAAATGAGACTCAATTCTCCATGGAATTACTGAAAATACAGGTGCCAGAAAATGAGAGCTTTTTCTTAGCAATCAGTGTAGCCTTCATACAAAAATGCCTTTCATACTTACTTTACCCCATGTAATTACACAGCAAAGCCCCCTTTAACATCTCACTACATAATGGCAACTTTCTATTTCAAATCAGATTACTGTAAGAGTTACCCAGCCATTTCAAGAGATAATAGCTGTAATTAAGGTGTTTCTAGTGATGGGCTCCTATTATAATGTGGCAGATGATTCTCTGTTAGTCTTGTTGGCTGCATTAGTCACAATTGTTTTCACTAATATTGACACTATTGTCTTACCACACAAATAGAAAAGGAGATTAATCAAAATACTTTTCTGGTTGGGTATGCTCTGAATGCTTCCTTTGGAACTGATGCCCAATTCCTAGCTTCCAGTTGGAATAAAAATAATTTCTTGTAAGATGTGCAGGCATTTTCACCCATGTTATTTAAAGTAATACTGTGAGAAAAAAAGGGACATAATTATTTAACTAAAAATCTGAAAGTAAAGCACCGATGAAACTTGAATGTTGCCATTTCTAATCATCTCATCTGGTTCCAGTCTGTGTGTCAGTGACGTGAGATTGCTGAAATGTGTTCAGACTGGGGAATGAGGTGAGCATATATGTATGGATTCACTGTCTTGGTAAAAAAATTACACACACCAAGGGACAACTGGCATGTGAGCAACCTGGAACTGTAAAGCTGACTCAGGAAAATGGAGGCCTCCAGTAGCACTGATGGCTTGGGATGAGCAAAGTGTGTTAGTTTCAAAATGATGGGAGAAAAGATTTTTCATTTTCCATCATTTTCAGCAAAGCCAATGAAGTTAAAACAAGGGATGATTACCAGTTCTGCACAGTCTGAAGACGTCAGTCAGCTTCTCTTGAACAAGGTTGTCATGGCAAGTCACCCAGAAAAAAAACTGTATCAAGTACCAAAAATAAGAAGGGCCAAGACAAGCAGGGAGCATGTCAGGAGTGCAGGGCATGATCTCATAAAACACACAGTGAAAAGGAGAGCAAAGAAACAACTTTTCTCTGAGGAAATTCACACACTGACTTCCAGAGCCAACAGTTTGCCAGTTAACCAAGGAAAGGAAGTAAACCAACCATAAAAAGGCACTCCCACATATTTGGGAGCACTGTACATGTTGACCACTGCACCTGTTGTTGCTATATGTGCTTTAGAAATGCACCTATGAAACATGACATGTCAGTTAAAAATTGATTTCAGTACTATATTACTATAAAGTAATAGACAGCTGTGAATTCCTTAACTTCAATTTTCTGAAGAAATACATGAAAATACCATGGGAAAATTATCTTTGTAAACATTTTCACTCACTTTCTGTTTTCACATTCTAGTTACCAAGATGCAACCTCCTAAATAAGGTGCTGTCTGCAGAAATTGTTGTTATTTTCACATATTTAACACAGAGAGGGTATTTTTGTGTAAACATTCAAATGTGAAATATTATCTCGTGTTTCAATACATAAAAGTACCCTTCAAATTTGCAAAATGGATAATAGCTATATTTTATCAAAGATTTATTGCCTAGCTATATATCTACAGGAGCTTAAAAGGTTGAAATCACCACAGCCTGAGACCAAAGGGCCTTATAGGTAATTTATTATTGAAGTGAAAATAATAATTAAAACAAAACAAAAGCTCTGCGAGTAAGGAACACATTTTCTCTGCAAGAAGTCTCAAAATGCCTGTCTCCTGCCTTAATGTTGACTTCAAGAGTCTATAGGATTATAAGACCATGTAGACCACTAGTAATTACCTTGCTGACTTTTGCAATGTGGGCTCAGATCCCACTGCATCTGACGTTTTGTTTTGTTTAGAGGAGATCTCTGGCTCTGCTCTGGACAGAGACAAACAACTCTCATGGCAATGGAAAACTAACTAACTAAAAACAAACAAACAAACAAACAAAACCCCAAACCAAACCAAAAAATAAAACAAACATAAACCCCCAAATATCTGAGTTCTCTATATAATGTTTTAATCTGTGATCCCAAATTACTTTTTGCTCGTGTTTTGTAAAATGCTCTTCTAAACTCATTTACCGAGGGCTATAAACTCACTTATATAAAGCTAATAAAACTAGTTGTGTGAAGGCTTTGGCAAAAATCAGTATTTAAAAAAAAAATAAATCCCAGATTTGTACAAAAGAAGCATACACTGTGACACTGACATATCAAATTCGTTACTGTTCATTGTCTGTTGGCTGTAGAGGATGTAAAAAGCATAAGGCTTCAATAAAGAGGAAGTGTTGTATAAGTCTTGAAATGAGAACTGTGGTTGTATACAGTCTCTAAAAAATAATTTTCACTTTAGACTAAAAGTTGCCATATATTTGGTGAGACAGGACAGGATATGCATAAATTTAATAAATAAGAAAAAGTTCTACTGATATGAGTAAGATTAAACAGCGGTGAAACAGAATAGACCTACCATCACGGAGAAATACAAATAATAAAAAGATCCTACATCTATCTGTGGAAATATATTGTAGGGAATGGTACAGAAATTGCTCCCATGTCCAAAGTCATAATAACTGTAGTTTAGGAAAATAATAATAACAATGAGAATTAAAGACTGAAGAAAGAAAGAAAGAGAAACAAAAGAATATATTTAAAGGCATAACTATTTATGCTGATCAGTACGTTCTATTTGAGATGCAATAAAACAATGGTTGGTGTTGTACCCTGCTAAATTTGTTACAAGTTGTTCAAAGATTATGATAAAGCATGTGTGGTAAACAGCAGTGCCTGGTATTTATCTGCTGGCTTCTTATCCCTGGTCTCGCACTCCTGACCACAGCTCTTCCTTTGGAGGGGTGTGAGCATCTGTCAGTAAAACTGCATTCCTGCTGGTTTAGGGAGCTGCTGCTGAGGCTTGATTCCTTGTTTATCTTTTTTGGAACCACTGTAAAGCTCTGTTATTATGTTTGTGATTTCTGTTGCTGCCAGGGTGATAAAGAGCAATTTCAGAGTGTAGAGCCCTAGTTCTGTACTGGGGCTAAACACGCACTTAGCACTTGTTCAGTTAGTGAGCTTATCATCAATGAAAATAGAAAATGAGCAGATGCCTTAAGCTGAGTAGGTTCTTAAGGGCTATATGTAATCAGTGTTTGCATCTCTATTTGTGTTGACTGAAGGTCAACATCTAATTAATTTTATAAAACTGAGTATAAAGGGAGTGGGTGTTTCATGGTGCTGCCTTGTGCAGAAAACATAACTGGAAAGACCCTTGTGTCGAGTCTGTGACTGTCATCTGGAGAAAACAGAAATGGTGAAATGAGAGGGAGTTTTGCCAACAACCCTTTCTCATCAACTTTCTCTTAGGAAATGAAGAAATAATTATTTGGGCATGACAGTGTAGGTGTGGCACTTTCTGAATATTCACCCAAAGGCTTTGGAAAAGAGAAATATGTGGCACAAATGATACTGTTGCCATCAGGCTCCAGGATTACACTTCTGGCCCAGGAGTGATGGGAAGTTTTAACTTTAATAAATGTTACAAGTATCTGCTAACTCTTACAGATTAAAAAAACCACAGCAAGCATGTATAGGACCTTTGCTCTCATTAGGCTTCTGTCCTTCCTGTTTTCCAGTTTACAGAAACCTTTTATGTTATTTCAGTTTGGGTCAGAAGTGTCCTCCAGAAGTGACGTTACTCAGTGGCTCCATCCTGAAGATCACATTATTATCTGATGTGTGTGGTTTCCCCATGGGAAGGATCTACCATGTTTCATTGTCTGATGGATTTAAACACCACAGTTTATAAGGATCCCAAAACATCCTGCCATTTGGCGCATTTTACACAAAAGGCTACTGTGTAGTCTGCCAGCCTGCAGCAGATGGCTTTCTGTACGTAACACATAAACTTCGGTCTTACTGAACTTCTGCAATTGTCATTTTATTTCTGCACAAATACACTGTCATCCATCCAATATTTTAAACGCACAAAGCACAAGGTTCACCCAACAAATAATTTCACACGTATAAGGCAACCAACAGAAGCATCAATTAACTGCACTCTGGGAGCAATGATGGGACATTTTGGAGGAGATGCTGGGAATGGGCAGGGCAGCGTTTCATAAGGGCAGAAGAAGAACAGCTTTCTGAGCAGCTGGTCTGATGGTGGGCAGAGACATTGCTAAGGGGACCCATAAGTGGCAGCATTGAGTGAAAATCACAAAGGAGTTGGTGGAGTGAGGAAGCCCCCATGCAAATCCCACTCTTCAGCCCAGCAGCACAGTGCCATGGCTCCCCACTGCTCACACGGCAGCACAGACACACTTCTACAAGGAGCAGCAGCCAAATCTTACAAGGGAAACACAACCACGAGCACTTTCCCAACTATGGGTTAATTTTCAGCCCAAGACACAAAGCTAGTTCAGATTTCTGAATTTTCCCATCCTTGTTCACATCGCAGTGGTTGAGCAGGATCTGGCGGAACTTGTCCAGGTCCACCCCGCTAATGCTGGGCTGCAGGCAAAAGAGAAAAACAGTGCTGAGAGAGAAAATTACGCTGGATTCTCCCAGCTTTGTAAAGCAGCAGGCCATACAGCAACTGGGAAATCCATCCAAGGAGAACTGACCAAAAGGCCCCCCATAAGCTCGTGTGCAGAGGAGAGGCAAACAGAGGATGCGGAAAGGACACCCTGCAAAAGCAGAAGGGGCATGGGGCTGTGAATAACTATGCAGAAACGGCACCTTGACTTTTGTGCTTAGTGAAGCACATCAGGATCCGATCTATATTAAAGAAAAGTCTGTAAAAGGTGTGCAATGCAGATTGCTGCACTACCAGACCTCTGCTTTCATCTGGTTTCCTCTCTCAGTCCTGCTGTGCAAGGAATGATGCGGCATTTCTGTCAGCAGACTCCTATTTTACAGGCTACTCAGCAATGTAAAAATACCTCTTGTGGATCAAACTGCTGCTGAAGATACATTTTACAGGCTACACTGCCTCTGTATGCTGAGCTGTACTGCTTGCTCTGCTTCCTGCGTCTTTGGGAGGGGCTCAAATTCACATGCACAGCTTGTGATGTCCAAGGACAATGCTGATGAAGGCCCTTAGGGAAAGTACAAACTTCCCTCCTTTACACACACACAGAGAACACAAATCCAACCTCCTACCCATTCCCACACCCTTTCCTACACACTACATGGCCATAACATACACCTGCAGCTGTCAGCACGTAGCTACCATTCTCTGGTCTCTGCTATACAAACATGGGAGTGCTGATATCCCTGTGCTAGGTCACATTGCAGGGAAATGCAACAGCTCAGGCTCAGAGGAAGCCAAAGACTAGACTCTATTTTTGTCAAAATCTCTATCTTGGTCTGCATCTGGAAACTTAAGATAATCCAATCCAGACAGACTCTGCTGTCCATCAGGAATTGAAGTGACACACTGGGTACAGTATGGTCAATTAGAGATAGACCTCGAGTAATTTTCAAATGTAGTCCTGAGACAACCTAGTGAACCATGAGGTCATTCTGGTGAGAACCACATCGTCATGGAAAACAGGAGAAGGAAATTCTGATGATTGATCTATGCCAACAGTTTGTGCTGAGATGGTGACATTCCCTTCTGGTGATGATCAAAGTGAAATTTCACTCTGTGTTCTTACGAGTCTCTCTATGTGCATAACATTTCCAAAACTAGCCCTGATCTTTCAGAAACACAGAGTATTATTCAAATAGAGCCATGAAGATACCTTGACCAGTTCCATCATGTCTTTGACAAACCCATCCACTTCTGGGCCTTCAAGTGCTCCCGTTTTACTCTGAAAGATGGAATAAACAGTAAAACTCCCCAGTGAATCAAAAACACTACAGTATTTGCTGGTCAGTAAATCCAACCAGTCACCAAGTATCCAAACAGTCACCAAGCTTTATAGCATTAAGTTCACACAACCACGAAAAAGTTTGGATTGGAAGGGACCTTTAAGATCATCCAGTTCCAACCACCCCACCATGAGCATGGATATCTTCCACTAGACCAGGCTGGGTTGCTCAGAGCCCCATCCAACCTGACCTTGAAGACTTACAGGGATGGGAAATCCACAGTTTCTCTGGGCAACCTGTTCTAGTGCCTCACTACACTCACAGTAAAGAATTTCTTCCTAATATCTATGATTCCTTCCTTTTCCTCAAACAATCTCTTCCCCTCAAATGGGAGCAACATCTCCCACCATTTTGTGAGGCTTACTGGTCACCACCCCGAGGGAATTGTGTGACTGTCAGAAGTGACACTAAATTATTGATGTCTAACAGGCAGTTTGATGGTAATGTCTGTCATGGGCCAGACTCCCTAAATAATCATTATTTCAGTATTGGAAGGGGTTTATTTTTCAAGGGGTGGTGATGCAGATCCCAGGTATCAAAGGTTGTGAGCACTAAGGCCACCATCTTCTCTGCATCTCCTTCAGGGATACTGCTAATGCAGCAGCAATGGCCATGGCAATGGAGGAAGTCAAAATGGGTCCTTGCCACGAGGTCTCTGAGCATCACACCCGCCTGTCCTTACTTTACCCCTGCCAGTCTGGTATCCAGGCTCATAGACCATGGCCTCAAGCACAGCTGCTGCTCCTGAGTGACCCCAACAACGCCCAGCAGAAAGAAGAAATCTGAGCAGCATATGCAAGGGATTGAATGGCCTCACAGGACTCACAACATCATAATGTGCAAAGATCTTCTCAAAATCTCTTCTCCTTTCTTCTGTGCTGCAAGCCTGCATGTAGAGAGGACAAGCAAATGAAAAGTTTAAGAAAATAATTCAAGTTTGGGTCCAGATTATCTTAGCTGAGAGAAACAGGATCAATGTATCAAAAAACAGTGCTACTTACATCCATTTTAAATTGTAGAAGAAAATTTTCCTGGAGCGCCAGAATCCTGAAGGGAGAGATTTAAATTATAATTTTCCACTGTATCATCTGCATACAAACTCATCTGAACTCTCCTTGTTTGTAAAGCAAAGGGATGTTAGATTACAGGCCTATAAAAGAGAAAATTGCCTGCAGGGTTATTTACAGAGGGCTGATGTGGGAACACATGCCCTCCTCCCTGTCTGATGGGGCACGGCAGGTGCCCTTTGGCTGACCACAAATGTGCTTCTTAGCACCATTGCTCCTCAAAGAGCAATTCTGGTGGTCCAGCACAACGGACTCTGGTGGTCCAGCCTCTGAGTCAAGAGCTGCCAGACAACCGTTCCTCGCAACTGGATTGCTGTGCTGCATTAAAGGAAAGAGTCATTTATTGCTCTCTGTTGGAGGCAGAATTGGTGGCTGTAAAAGTAAAGGGCAAAATAACACTGGCCTGTGCACCGAGACTGGCTGAATTCCTCTCCTTTTGTCTCCTAAAGCTCATCAAGCACTGATAAATTGTTTTCTCTCTCGGACTCCTCTGCTAAACCTGAGGTTTTTAGAGCCAGTAGCACAGGGACACTGAGCTGTGTCCGCACATGGAGGGATTTGGAGTGTGAGAAATGTGCTCAGATTGCAAGGGAGCCTCAGATGGCCTGGTTCCCAGTAGGGAACTGTGTTTAAGAGAGAATTGCAACAGCAACTCCATTTAGATATTCTCCATTCTGCCTCTGATTCTCTTCACATATTTCATGGTCAAAGGGAATTGCTATATGCACTGCGGTTGTTCGTGCTCACATTTGTCATGATCCCAAGCAGAAAGTAACAGTGGCAAACCTGCACCTCTGTCCCCTCACCCCTAAACTGGCATTTTAAGACTGCATCTGCACATTTGGAGTCCTATCTAATCAGTGCACGTACATTTACAGAGGAAGGCATGCTCTCTGTCTGTAGGCAATGAAAATCATCTAGAAGCCTTGGGAGACCTTATCACTCTCTACAACTACTGGAAAGGAGATTGGAGAGAGGTGTGGGTTGGTCTCTTCTCCCAGGCAACCAGCAGCAGGACAAGAGGGCACAGTCTTAAGGTATGCCAGGGGAGGTTTAGGTTAGACATTAGAAAGAAATTCTTTACAGAGAGAGTGATCAGACATTGGAATGGGCTGCCCAGAGATGGTGGGCAGTCACCAGTCCCTGGAGGTATTTAAGAAGACTGGATGTGGCACTGAGTGCCATGGTCTAGTTGACAGGGTGCTGTTGGGGCATGGGCTTGGACTCAGTGATCTCAGAGGTCTTTTCCAGCCTGGTTGATTCAGTGATTCTGTGAGGTATCAAGGACAGAAAAGAGACAGAGGCCCATGACTGAGTCCCCAGCTTCATTCACAAGCATCTTTGCCTTGCCTCTTCAAATTCTTTCTTACTACCACTGCCAAACTCCTTTGTGGTGGCACTTTTATTTTTCAAAAAAGTAGCAAAAAAATGTGATGATGTAAAATAAATGCACATCTGCTACTCTGCTGAAAGGATTGCCATCCTTTTTTTGAAGTAACAATATCATTGGTTGCTTTGTCACCTCCTGGGAACCATCACAGGGGTAGCATGGGTCAGGCACGTTGGTGCTGCACAGACAGGTCCTGGCATTGCTCCTGTCACTAGCTCTAGATCCGCAGACTATTGCAGTAGGGACAGTGTTTTGGAGAGGTAGGATCACAGCTCATGTAATTTGAATGCAGGCAAAATTCAAATGCACGTCCCCAGAGCGAGATCATCACCTTGCCTGGATCTGCCATTGCGAGCCGAAAAACCCCATCAACATTATTAAATCCTACCTTGCCAGGTCATTCAGGTCCAGCCGTCCATCTTTATTTTTGTCAAAGATTTTCATCTGTAAATCAAGAACACAGAGATAAAATAGATAAGCCATGAGGAGAATATGCACACAAAAATGCCAATACACATTTTGCTCTGCCCTGTGCTCTCACCTCTGCTTGCTTGGGGTGCTTGCCCAAATCCCAGGCAGCATGGCATCCTACGCTACCACCCAGTGCAAGGGTGGCACGAGAGCATAGCAAAATCCTCCAACTTTCTGACAGCAAGAAGCCAAAGCAATCAAATGCCAATACCACTCACTTCCCACCTTATGTGGGGAGAAAGGCAGGTCTGCACCAAACACCTTAAGGAACTAAATACTGCCCTTGCCATGGCCCCTGAAAAAAATGCTGAAAAAGGGGGAAAACTTCTGAACGCTTCCAGCCTGACTCCATCCTTGTCTTTCGCTGTTGCTGTGGCTACTGAGTGGTGGAAGTGCAAATGTCACCTTCTGACCAACTCTCAGGTCAGGATTTGACACCACTAAAGCACTTCGGTTTGTTTGGCTCAAAGCCTGATGTTGGAAAGCTCTAAGACTGGGAAGAAGGTTGAGGCTGCCAACATCAAGAGGTTAGTCTGTATGAATTCAAAACTTATCCTTTCCTTAAGATTACTTTTTCCTTAATACCATCAGTTTTGATGAGTCATGACCAAAAAACGTTTATTTATTTGTTGTATTTCTTGTATTTATTTGTTGTATTTGTTGTATTTATTTGTTGTTCTGCATTTCTCTTCAAGGCACAAAAACGAGTCTGTTATAAGGAAAGGGGATGAGGAGGTGTTTAATGAGTTGCAAGCCTGAAAAACTCATGGCTCAAAGTTCTAGAAAAAATGGATTCCACGCTGTAGTGGTGGGGGAGAGGAAGCTTAATATTTTACTGTGACAGGCCACATTTCTTTATCAGATACTCAGTTAAGGAATATGCATTATATTGGTAGATATAGGTATTGACAGATCTCATCTGCTTGTTTAGTGGTTGTGCAGAGTAACCAGTTCCCTACAGACCTGTTGTGTGATTGCACACCTGCTGGAGAAGGCCTGCAGCAGTCCCCATCTCACAAAGATTAGAGGGACAGGATCATCCTCTGTGACACAACCTGAACGAGCGGAAGCCAGCAGCATGTTCTGAGCACTTCCTAGCAGTGAAGCCTAACCCTTGGATGTGAACACAGTGTGTTCTGGAAAGCTACCATTTCTCTGGGAGACCTTAACTATTTTGTCAGTGCTGCCTTCTCCTCACCCCTTGCTCAAGGGCAGGCAGCTATGCTGAGACCCTTTATGGCATTGCATTTAGATTGAGATTCTGCAACAGACATTAATTATTCTGAGCATTTTACACTACAGAGGTTTGGATGGGGTTTTTCAAGAGGCAGTTTGTATAGGCTCACTTTTTCTCCCACCAAAAGACAGTGTAAAAGTCCTCTGATTGATTGAATGCCCATATTGAGATATTTGGAAAAATGTCATCCTGAGAGCTATGTGGCTGTTCAGTGGCACAAGGAAAGCCATTTTTCCATTTAATTGGCCTCTGCCAAGCACGCACTCTGTGCAGAGCCACTAAATAACAGAAGAAAGACTTCTGAATCTTCCTTTGCTCTAGAGCTGGAAATACAAATGAAGCTGCTAAGTCATCCTGAGGACTGCTCTCTGGTTGCTCAGTCCAAGTTGCCCCTTTCTAGCTGACCTAAACTCTTGCATCCTGCTTTCTGCCCCATCAGTTCTCCCAGTGTAATATAGCACATTTCCCACGTCTTTGCTGGAGCTGCAATAAGTTAAGGCTGGAGGAAGGGATGGGAGCAGAAGCTGCCTTTGCTGTTGCCACCAAGGGGAGAAATGTCCTTGCAGTGACAGCCTCCCACCGCCATCAGAGAGGTAAACATGAGCCTTCAGTCCTTGGCTAGTTAAGGGAGTTATTCTGCAGGTCGTAGCAAATTATTAATGTTCCTTTTAGAAATAGATAATCCCAGATAAGAATTTAAAAACCTCTCTCCAAATGGAACATCAGTACCTAAACTGGTTTTCCCTGTTGTGTAAAGAGAGAGGGAGGCATCCCTGCTCGTTCACTTCTGCAGACTCTCCAACATCGGTGGCTTTGCAACATCCAGCTTACGCCATCACTCTGAAAAATACTCTTTAAGGGAAACTTATGAAGACAACCCCTATTTAGTCAGCTAGAGAAAGTACCAGCATATGGATGGTGGGAATACCCTAGTCCCAAGGCTCTACAGTAACTCAAGTGCTTTTTAAAATGTCACTCTAAATCCCTTGGTTTAGGCCACCAAGGAGCATTAGATACCCACATGGTCTGTAGGAATTCATCATAAAGCAGTGCAGATGGCATGGTGGGAGAGGACAGTATTTGGTGGGAAACACAGCACACAGCTCTTAGGGACTCTGATGCCAGGTCAGGGCAGCTCTGGCTGAAGGCATTGGCCTTTTGTTCACACAAAGATACATGTCCTTACCAAAACACACGAAAACTTACTGCCTTTAGCACTCTTTCAAATTCACCGGGATTCTCCTACATATTTCTGAGCTCCTGGAAGTGTGTTTTATTTTCTCCCATACTCTGTGCATCTCAGAATTACTCTTTGAGACTAAAATCCAGTGTTTCAGCCTAGACTTCAAATTCAGATGTTTTTCCTGCTGCGATGCCTCAGGAAAGCAAACACACAGATTTTCTGGGAGAAGTTCAGCTCTGTGACCACAATGTTCTGATCTCCATACAAACTCGCTGATAAACACCTAGAAATGCTGACCATGGTGTGAGCTTATGCAACTAGGGCAGATCTGGTGCTTTCCTAAACAAGAGTCAGACTTAGGGCACATTTCTCATTTCGTATAGGCCTGTCTGGGACAAGTCTTGAGTCTCCTTTTCAGTGAAACATCTCCAGCCTCATCTCCTTTTCCACAGATTAAATAAATAAGCACCATAGTGTAGCTGTCCTTGTCTTGGGACTTTGGGCATCCTGCCTGCCCTGCATCTGCTCTACATTGTGGGTGAAGAACATTTTCATGGGTTCAGAAGTCACAAATAGCCGGGAGGCTGAAAAGCTTTGTGCATCCTTAATGAAACAGGATAGATTAGAGGTGGTGGTTTAGATGTGAAAGTCTTTCTGTTTCAGTGTCAATTTTGTGAGCTAGTGGTTTTCAGCCCTATCCATTTCTGAATCCTTTACAATATTGCTGCAGTAGCACAAACTCCATTAAAGCACATTTATCTGCAGCGAGAATACTTTCCCTAGTGGAATGCTTAATGAAAGGAAACATGCCCAGTTTGCTTCTCTTGCATTGTATCTTTGATCTTGACATTAAACTTTCAGCGGCTGACCATGTCTACTTACAACTAACCAGTTTCCTTCCCTGACCTCCTTGACTTCTCCCTGACCTCCTTTACTCAGCTCTGCAAGAGAGTATTTTTGTGTTTTCTAATTGTTTGGCCTTTTTCTGCAATGAGTGTCCTGAATAAAATTTGCAAACATATGCAATGTTTTGATTGTCCATACCAGTCAACAGAGGGAAAATAAAAGTCTGGCTGGAAGAGCTAGGCTGAGCTAATTCTTGGCCAGTGATTTCCACATGACAGATAGAAAACATGTAGGGAATTAGTTCAGGTACCACAGCTAACAAGATAGTCCTAATCCTGTTATCTGGACAACGGGAGCTCATGCGTACCCACTACATGGCAATCTCGCGTTGCATTACTTGGGGAAAAGCCTGAGGAAATAGTTTTTAATTAAACTTTCAAGTTTCAAGCATGTGAGTGTTTGTTCTGATCTGCTGGTTGCGTGAATGAGCACACAAAGAATATCAGAGGGTACCCCATGTGACAAAGTGTACATCATGGGAGAAGCTAATTGAAGAAGATAATTGAAATGGTTATGAAATTCTTTCTAGTTTGAACTTTTAAACACACCATCTTGATATGTCAAACTTGATGGATTTTCAGTTTACACTCCTGAAAGGTATATTTATGCTGCCAGGCTGATAGGAAAATATGAAATGTGGTTAAGGACAAGGTCTGGCATGTTTAAATAGCACTCAATTTTAGTTAAAGCTTTGTTACATCTAGCAGTATGCTTTATAAAATGATGCATTTATTTTGCTGTCAAGCTACCCCATGTTTTAAAGTGTTTGCACAAATTAATTCACTGACATTTTAATGGCAGTGCATCAGGGGCATCTTAGTTCTATTTGTTTGAATGTAGTCCATGCACTCTGAGGCAGGCAGAGAATATGTAAAAGCTGGGTTTGCAAAATAAGTGTTGTTACATCTCCATTTCTTTTAAGTGCAAAATCAGAACTGCCACTGGCTTTTGATTCAGCAAAAAAAATACCTCTACTTTTCCAGTCCAGTGTTGTAAAGAAGGCCAGTGAAACACCACAATATGATATGCTTTGAAGAGCAATATAAGGTTATAAATATGAATTATTTTCCATGACAAAGACAAGGAAAGAAGTAAACATCCAAAATAAATAATTCTATGATCAGTGGGCTCACTAAAACCTGCCTTTACATCTTCTCTGGTTCTTTGTGTGTGATAAAGTGGGACACTGAAAAGAGTCAGCTTTTACTTGCTTTCCTACTCCCACAAACACACATATCATGGGCACCTATGCCCAACAGCTGTAACTCAAGTTGACCAGTGAGTAGCAAGGTATTGAGAGTGTATCAAGACAGGCATGTGCCCAAGTTCCAGGGCTGCCTATGGCTTCTTTCTTTGAGGAAGGATGAGGTCACAAAGACTTTTGCAGACAGACTGGAGGGCCCCATGGCCAGCAACTTATTCTCAGGACAAAAGCTCAGGGTTCTGCCCAACCAGATTGCCTGTGTCGCATAGACAAGTCATTTAGTGCAGAATTTCTAAGAGTGTTTTGATTCCTAGGAGAGCAAGGTGTTATCACTTGGAGTTTTCAAAAGCCTGCATGCTCCTGAGTTCTCTTGGTTTTGATCTTCAGAAATGAAGTATGAGCTTAAATGAGGTATTCTGCTTCCCTTGCCTTATGCCACAGCA